TTCCCACCCAATTGTTGAATATAGCTTCCCACTGTCCCATTTAGTTTTGTCTCAACCAAGACTATAATGTCTGCTCCCTCCTGTTGGATTCTGCTCCTTGATTTTTTTTCTCCTCCCTATTTAACCCCCTAACATTCCATGCTAGAATTTTCAGCGTCATAACAACTGAATGGATTGTTTCCTCCCTCTGCTTCGTGAGTCGCTCCTTGTTTCTGCATCCTTAAACTTTATATCAAAGAAGAGGTTTTTGAGCTCTTTTGGGACTATCTGCTTGTCATGATTTTTTGTTGGGAGTTCTGTTGTTGGAGCTTCCTTCTCTCTCCTTTGATAAATTTTGAGGAACAGTGTTGTGGCCTCTTCTATACACCCCTCGAAAGCAACCCCAAATTCTCGACTTGATCTGAGGATATTTTTTTGGACCCATAAATTCGCTTTTTCCCCTGCTTCTTTGCTACTCAAGATAGTGTCAATTTATAGGAAGATTCGGTGCAAATCCTTTGGGTTTGATGTAACAAATCTTCATAATACGACCTAATTTAATTCTTCACATCACACTTCCTCAGAGAATCTGCTTGTGGCACCCATTCTGTCAAAAGAATGTATGACTTGCTAATCGTGTGTTACATGCTCCTCACACCACAACAAAGCCCCAATTTAGATAATGACATTCTTGATCATATCACATCTGGTGGAATTAGATGTAAATGATTGTGGAGTTATTGTTGATTTTACTAGCTCATTACATACTTGTTATAGTTTCCTCTTTCAATTGCAAGTTTTAACCTTTTCAAACATTCTCTTTTTGTTGATATATCTATAAAAGTTACTCTTTACCAATTAACAAGAAATATCTGGTGGAATTAATGAGGCTGCCAAGTTGAATAAAGATTGCCCATCTACTTGTTTTGAGAAGATATGCTAGCTGAACTTAGGAGAAACAAACAAAGGAATTTGTGTGTCTATTACAAAAAAAGTTAAGGACTCCTAAATGTTTTTGGTTTTATCACCATGCCTGAACATGGCAATTCACTTTTAGTATTATATTTAACCAGTAAAATCACCCGCGCTTTGCGCGGGAATTTAATATCCCTGGGACCTGTATCAAATCTACTTTCCTCCTGGATGATTGACATGGCATCGTCATCTGTTGATGTTGTATCCTGGTGATCCTGATCTACATGAACCCAAATAGTTGTATCCATTTCTTTATCAAGAGTTACTGTTTGGGTTTGCGCGTGAAGTGGTACAACATCTTCCACTACCCAATTTCCCTCCTTTGGTCCCAGGGATCCTTTGTAAGTTAGATATTGAAAAAGCTTACGATCACCTTCACTGGGTATTCCTCTGGAAGACTTTGGAGAATATGGGTTTTGGTGGAAAATGGATGAAATTCTGCATCACGACTGTGAAGTTTTCCGTTCTGATAAATGGATCTCTTTCTGGATTCTTCTCATCTCAGAGAGGATTAAGACAAGGGGACCCCCTATCCCTTTTTCTCTTTATTCTGGCAATGGAAGGACTAAATGACACTCAGAACATCCCAAATGAAAGGATGGATAAGAGGTTTCAATGCCAACATGAATGATAGACAGGGCCTAGCCATATCACACTTACAATATGCTGATGACACCCTGATTTTTTGTGATGCAGAGAGATGCCAACTAAAGTATTTAAGAATCATCTTGATATTGTTCTAAGCCATCTCAGGATTACACATCAACTGGGGGAAAAGTTTCATTTACCCCGTTAATAAGGTGCCCAACATAAATGCGTTAGCAAATATCCTGGGGGGAAAGATAGGAGAACTTCCCACAGTGTACCTTGGCATGCCCTTGGGGGATAAGAGCAAGTCAAAAGGCATATGGAACAATGTTCTGGAGAAATGTGAGAAGAAGCTAGTGAATTGGAAAAACAAATATTTGTCTCTAGGTGGAAGAGTTACTCTCATCAACAGTGTGTTGGATGCCATGCCTACATACATGATGTCAGTTTTCCCAATGCCTGCAAATGTGATTGACAGAATGGATGCTATCAGGAGAAATTTTTTGTGGCAAGGGAACTGTGATCCTAATGAGCAAAAATATCATCTTGTAAAGTGGGATGAAGTCATTCAAAGCAAAAAAGTAGGGGGTCTGGGGATAAGGAACCTAAAATTGCATAATCGAAGCCTTCTGATGAAATGGCTATGGAGATTTGCATCACAGGAACAAGCACTGTGGAAGGAGACAACCAAGGCTAGGTTTGGAATGGAGAACAAAATGGACTACCTACATGCCCACACAACCGTATGGGACTGGAGTATGGAGGTCTATCAGAAGTGAGTGGATCAAGTTTGCCAACAACTGTAAAATCAAGGTGGGAAATGGGGGAAAAACACTATTTTGGGAAGATGTGTGGGCTGGACAAGAAACTCTGAAGAACAAGTATCCTGACTTGTTCAACCTGAGCCTTCAAAAGGTATCCACAATTAGAGAAATGAGAGACAATCAAGGGTGGGATCTCAGGTTTAGGAGACACTTGAACGACTGGGAAATTAACAGAGTGGCTGAACTACTCAATACTCTGGAGCAATACAAAGATTTAACCCCCAATGAGGACAATCTTTTTTGGCTACCAGACAAGCAAGGCAGATTTTCAGTTGGTTCAGCTTACAAGACATCACAAAGATCAGTCTCTCAGAGTAGTGGGCCAGGCTGGCCCTGGAAGATGATCTGGAAAGTCAAGATACCCTTCAAGGTTGCATGTTTCACTTGGCTACTAGCCAAACAGGCCACACTCACCATGACAACCTTATGACAAGAGGTCGTCGGTTTTGCTCTAGGTGCTCTTTTTGTGAATGTGAGATTGAGACAATAAATCATCTCTTTCTACATTGTAGAGAGACTGTGAAGTTATGGCAGATTTTCATCAATTTAAGAGGCATAAGCTAGACTATGCCAAGGGGCATCAAAGAGGCTCTAGCTTGCTGGAATAGAGATGGGAATCAGTCGGGACACAGGGAGAGATGGAAGATTGTCCCAGCCTGCATTTGGTGGACTATATGGATGGAAAGGAACCAAAGATGTTTCGAAAACAAGAGTTGCTCTCTGCAGAAACTGAAGTTGAACTGTCTAGTCCTTTTCTTTTTTTGGTGTAATCACAAATATCCTCAAGAAGAAAAGGATATTCCTAGTATTTTAGATTATTTATGAAGCTTAGTAGGGACACCCCTCCCTCTGTAATTTTGTTGTAAGTATTATTGGAATACCTTTCTGAGTATTCCTTTTGTTCACAATACAAGATACAAGTTACCTTCTTCAAAAAAAAAAAAAAAAAGGTCACAACTCTTTGGAAAAGTTACAACCCTTCGGAAAGGTCATAATCTTTCATAAAAGACACAACTTTTCATAAAAGTTGTAACTCTTCATAGAAGTTGCAATTTTTCATAAAAGTCGCAACTTTTCATTTAAGTCGCAACTTTTCATAAAAGTCGCAACTTTTCATGAAAGTGGAAGGCTAGTTTTGCAAATATATAAATTAAAAAAGGAATCCTAGTTTGTGGTGGCGCCACGTAGGCGGGCCTAGGGTTCTCTTTTATATATATATGATATTTAATTTTTATTATTCTGCTACCTTGACAAAGTAAGCCAAGGGTCTACCGAAAACAAGCTCTCTATCTCTATGAGATTGGGGTAAGATCTGCGTACACTCAACCATCCCAAGACCCAGTTGTGGGATTACACTGGGTATGTTGTTGTGGAACTTTGACAAAGCTGCAAGTTAGTTTTTACTTGTGCATTAATTTTCAAGAACTACTAGAGGCTTGATGCAAATGATAGTTGTGTTCTTTTGAGACACACATTAGAAGGGAGTCAACATGGATATAACTAACAGGCGAAACTTTGTCAAGTTTCAAGCAAATCAGCTTGATCTATGGGATAAAACGTGCTCTTTTTAACTTTGGATCTGATTACATAATTGAAGGCTTTTAATAAAGTTCTTATGTAGTAGTATTCGTTAAGGTAAAACGAGGTTACTTATAAAATGGCATGTAAATGGGGTTTATCTTGTGGTTGAGAAATTAATGAGGGCTATATTCAAGAACTGAGATTACTATTTAGTCCCTGCGTTATTTTATTTGGTTTTATTACCATTTAACTGCTCGCTCTTCGGAAATGGAATTGTCATCTTGTTCGCAAGATATGTTGCGTTGGTGAGGTTGGCTAAGGGTTTAGTTGACATGCCTGGATGTTACTAGGTAGGGTCTTGGTGGTAGATGCTGGTCTGCTGGTATTCATCTGTATGCCAATTGACTCTGGAAAACCTGAGAGTCCTACTATTATTTTATGATTGGTAAAGGATAAGTGTATTGATACTTGATGCTGGAGAAATGTACAATTAGCAACCTTACAAGGAAGTCCTACTATTATTTCATTTTTCACTATATATTTATGTTGCCCGTGCCCTTCAAACAGTTTGAGGATGCACTTGTGAGTAGTTTTTTCATTCTAAACACAATAATATCAATCCCTTTACGGCTCCCCTTTACCAATTTTTATTTTATATCTACAAACTTACTGGACTTAGCTTCAAAGCACTTGCATTAGTTAATGTTGATGCCTGTATTTGAAACTAGTACCTGAAATTGTCAAGTTTGTTTTCTATTGCCATATAGTTGGTCGCACGTTCTAAATTTACTAAAAATGAGGGCTGTTCGGTTAAGCCTCATCTTTGGCCTCTTTCCATCTATGTAGTATATCGCCTGAAGAAACTTTGGGATCCCGTTGTGGAAATCTGAATGTTCAACCTTCATTTGTATTTTCAGAAAGAAAGTATATATTATGTTCCTCCTAAATGAAACAGAGATAAAAAAAAAATGGCAAGTACGATTTGCGCATTAGTATTACTTGTCCACTATATATGTGGTGAGCACTCTAGGACCTTATAATAGGCACTTGTTGAATCTTTTATTAATAAGCAACTCTAACAAACTGATATTTGCTTTTACGTTCCTTTTCCAGCTACGAACCAGTCCTAAGGAACTACTTATGCATGATCCATCGCTCAATCAAGGAGGTCAGATGAATTCCTTTACTTTTGCTGGCAATCGGGACATAATGCAAAATGGAACTGCTAAGGCTGTTATCTGCAAATCCAAGGTGGTTATAATTTTCAAAGATAGATGCCTAGTTCATTTTATTTTGTCATTAATGGATGCAATATACACAGTGGTTTTGATTATAGGTATAGATATATCTACTAGCATCCATTATTTGAGATGATAATGCCATTATGATAATTTTTGTGAAGTAAATGGATCAATATTCATGACTGCATCATTTAATTACTGCAGAAACTTGAGGATGCAGTGAAGGAGATTGGTCTTCAAATTAAACACTACGAAGATAATATCAAATTCTTAGAGGGTCAGAAGAACAGGTTGGATGATTCAATTTTGGATATAGAAGGTATTGTTTCCTTCTTTTCAAGTTAATTAGGTGTGCTGTAAAATGCACGTGCACAATTTTAAAAGGTTACTGTAGTTATTTTGTTCTTTCAGTAACCTAGAATATAATGTTTTTATTCTGTCTTTATGGGAAGTAAACAATCAAACATTGTAAGAATTTTCATATCAATGGGCGTCTTTCACATTTCAAGTAAATATGGATTTCGTGATTACCTGTTGCGCAGAATATCAGCCATCAGCTTGTTTCAGTGAGCTTAATATATTGTTCATTGGTTTAATGTGTGTATTGCCTATTTAAAAGCACTCCGTGTAGACTATATCATTCACTTTAACTTTTTTCTTTCCCTTTTGTCATATGCCTTCTCACTGTTTCTCAATTTTAATGCCTTGTGCTTGTGGGGTATTGTAGTTGCACTCGGCAAGATTTATTCAGCAAGTGGAACTGGTTCTGAAAATAAGGAATCTTCTAATGGGAAGAATGAATTGGAGACCATTGAAGAAATCTTAACATTGAACAGTTGCCAGCTGCCAACTCATAATGGAACTCAGATTAGTCATTTTCCGTATATGAAGGACGTGATAGGAATGGTTGCTTTGCTTGGCAAGGTTGATGACGATAATATCAGCAGGTTAGTTTCACATAGCATCCAGTAATTGCTGGCGTTTTCTACAAAAAATAGATAAAGAAGAAAAAAGAAATGAGCTTTGTATGAGTCCACTTTCTATTCTAGTCCATGTTCAAGAGATTATACCACTCGTTCACTCTGTCCCAATCAAGATGACAATATGTGGCTGCATGATGGTGAAGACTTGAGACAAAAAGTTTGATACGTTCTGGTCTTTGAATTTGTCATAGGTATACTTAGAGTGATTAGGGTTTGGAGGTCGCAGATTAGGGTAGAAGGTTAGTTGGTATTTGAACGTTTTCTCACTTTCTTAGGTCGTACTAAGTAGTCCTACATTAGTTGGGGAATGAATGTGTGGTTTGCATATACAGGCTTGGGCAATCTTCCCCTCATGAGTATATTTTGGGGGTCGATTTTGGCTTTACCAAGTAGGCAGATAATGGAAGTTCACTGTACTTACCAAAAAAAATTTAGAAGTTCATTGTATTATGACTGACATTTGTATCTTAATCTCTGAAATCCAGGACTCTCACAGATTATCTTGGGCAAGAAACCATGTTAGCAGTTGTTTGCAAGACGCATGATGGACTTAAAGCACTGCAAACATATGATAAGAAAGGACTTGTAAATAAAAGTTCTGGTCTTCATGGAGTTGGAGCTTCAATTGGGAGACCTTTGGATGACCGATATCTTGTAATCTGTCTTGAGAACTTAAGGTTTGAGGTTATGATGATCTGTTCTTGCAAATGCATCTCATATTCTTTAGCACTTCTTTACTCTCTTATCTTTTTCATTTTTGGGTTATCATTTTAGACCATACACTGGTGAATTTCTTGCTGATGACCCTCAGAGGAGGCTTGCCCTAAAGAAGCCAAGATACCTCAACGAGGAAACTCCTCCTGGTTTTCTTGGATTTGCTGTCAATATGATCAATATTGACACTGCAAATTTATATTGTGTTACAAGCACTGGTCATGGCCTGAGAGAGACCCTCTTCTATAGACTCTTCTCACAGTTGCAAGTATACAAAACAGGGGCAGACATGATGCAGGCACTACCTTTTATAGCTGATGGAGCCATATCATTGGACGGTGGGATCATAAAGAGTGGTGGTATATTTTCCCTAGGCAAAAGGTAAAGAGGCTTGTCTTAAATAGTGTGTTTATTATATTCATAATTTTTTGTTCTTTCATAATTCAACTTGTTTGTGAAGATACTTTAAAGAATTGATTGCCTATTAACTTGTTCCTTTTTGAGTATCAAGTAATATACTTGATCCCTAACTGTGCGCCTGAACTGGGAAGCTGGTGTTATTTTGTGACCATGTTGCTTGACCTTTGTGGAGTTCAGTAGTTCGACCTTTCACGAACTTCCTCTGTCAATCTGTATAGAATGGTGCATGAAAGCATGTTCTTCCATTTCTTTCACTACATCTACAGCAAAGCTTCTGCAAGGTAGCTTTTGTTACATTTGTTTGTAATGCATTTTTTTTGGGAGAGGAGTCTTCAGGATTTATCACGTTCCGAGTCTACGACAAATTTTAGATTTACCTGAATGACCTATGGTAATTATTTATATCTTAATCTCACTGTCTCGTAGGAGTTGTTTTCAATCCTATTCCTATGTTCATATATTACATGTATTTGATTTCGTATGTTTATATATTAGATTCATTTGAATTGGCAGCACACTTTATTTTTCTTGTTGATTGCATCATTGAATCATTATCCTCTCTACCTTCCCAAGGTAGGGGCATGGCTGCGTACACTCCACCCTCCCAGATCCACTCGTGGGATTACACTGGATATGTTGTTGTTTGTTTGTATTGCATCACTGAATCATTTGGATTCTTTCTTTCTCGTGTTTATTTTTGTAAAGGGAAGTACAGATCAAATTTCCAAAGAGTTCTGGAAGGTCGTATTTACCTGAAAGCTATTTTGAAACTGAGATACGGATGAAGAAGCTGAAGTGGGAAAGGGTAAGATTTGAGGAAGATTTACACAGAGAGCAAACATTGCTGACCAGTGCAAAGAACAACTTTGAAATAAGGAAACAAGAGTTTGTCAAGTTTCTTTCACAAAGCTCATCCTATCTTTCAGGGCTATATACTTGAGTGTGTCTAGTTAGACTATGCATGCTAGTCATTGATTTTTTCCGTAATAATTAGTGTTGTTGATGCCAAGCAGATATAAATTAAGTTATCTCTAAGTTGATATAGGTAAAAGCTTGAGCTTTTCTTACTTGATCCTCTTGGTCCTTACATCCATGCTTTAATTGATTGACGATGTCATTTGATAGCTGCAGACTGTACTTGCATTTTATCATGTTAGGTGAGAACTCTGCATGGATAAGAGATCCTATTTTTTCCCCTGGGAACTTTTTAAGCTTGTGCTTTCTTTAGTATGCCAGTTATAGATGTTTTCTTTGAGCTGTCTAAAGATGTAGATATAGGAAGTGAGATGCTAAAACAATTTCACGAGAAAGGGACGAAATTGGTTTTTCTAGGATGCAGTAAAACTGTCCTTTTTCAACTGAAGATGTTCATATTCTAACCAGTAACCTCATTACAGGTGAGAGAGAACACATTTGCTTCAAGTTTGTGCTGCAATATTTAAATAACAAGTAAAGTTTGGCAACTACAAATTAACTTTTTTTTTAAAAAAAAGATAACAACCTGTATATATATTAAAAGTCAACACCAGGGGTGTTTCTGGAGAGTAATTACAAAATCCATAAATAGGAGCCAAAGGAGGGGCTAAAACAGAGAGTTAACAGCTACCTTTATTACACTTTGCCTATCAGTTCTATGAGATCCCCTGTATCCTCCAAAAGATCATGTTTACATTAAATAAAGAAGAGACTACCCGCCAAATGCAGGCTGGAATGATTTGCCACCAGTGGTCTTCTTCATTCCTTTTGCCAATCCCCTTGCAACTGTTAAAGAGTTCCATAGTGGTTTTTGGCATATCGTCACTGTGCACAATCTTCCTTTTACCTGCAAGTATCATTCTCGATACCTTCTGGTTCGAAGGGGGACCTCTGTTTTCTGTTTCGATGGAGTAAGTTGCTGGGCAGCTCCTCCCATACTTGGATCGTGAAGAAAAATCCACCATTCTGTTTTGTCACTAATTCTTCGGAATTTCACTACCGTCTCCTTTATTCTGACCCTTTCCCATTTGAGATGGTTCCGGAGTTGTGTTTCCTCCATCTCCATCCATCCCCCACTATGATCTCCAATAGCTCTGAAGGTCTTCTGCAACCATAAATACAACGCTAGTCCTACAAACTTAACCCAGACAGAGCTGAGTTTCTTTTCCTGCTTGATGGCTCCAATTGTTGGTGACCACCAATGGAGTTGAGCTGGAGATTTCTTCCATTTCCATTCACCATGTATAACCTACTCTGTGTCTGCTTTGGAAGCAAATTATAAAAGGAAACTCTGGTTACCCATCTCATAGGTATTTAATCCATGAGCTTGTTTCCAGAGGCCATAGGACCACTTCCTGATATCTTATAGTGTGGGCAGCTCCAGAAAGTTTTCGTGGAAATTGCAGACCACATATCTGTTCAAAACATCGTTTTAAGATGGGTCAATGTGAATGGCTCTTTCCTTTGACAGACCAGTTTCTTCTTCTTTGGAGGTGCTAATAAATTCCATATTACCCCATTTACTGCTCCTGACAGCCTCTGAATAGGGGATGTCTTTGTCTGTCAATCTTGAATTGAATGTCGATGGTAGAGAAGCATTTATGAATCTTCCTATCTTGTTAGCAATGTCTTTCCACCCAACATTAAATTCTAGCTCAGGAATGTTAAGTACAGATCTTCTTCTTCCACGTAGGTTTGGCATCTACATATTTGCTTCCTTGTATATGGAGTATTCAAGTGGCAATATCTGAAACTTTGGACATTTTTTAGGCTAGACAAATCAGGAGCTTGTGAAGGATCTTTTGCAGAACTTACTTTAAAAGAAAGATATAATTTATGTAAACTTCTGCTGAAGTAATTTGTTCCAAGAGGAGACATGGATAAATTGGAAATTTAGTAGTCCAGATATTAAATAGTCATTTAGTCGCGAAGTTTTCGCCATAATGTTAAATATCCTAGTATTGAATTTTGGAGAGAGAAAATGTTGAAGAAATGAGTGGAATATATGTCAAGGCAGCCAAAGGAAGACTACTAGTAGATTAAGGATGCAATTTAGGAAGATCTGGATAACAGGTTCCTTGTATATCAACTGGACTGTTTGTAAAGAAGAAATTGGAGTTGTTTTTGGACGTAGAGCATAGTGATAGAATACAGTTTAAAATGTACATGTTTGTGAAATCTAACTTTTTAAAGCAAACGCTGAATCTGTAGAATCTATTGGGGAATTCCCTTCCACGCCCGAATTGGCTAAATCTACGATAGTGGGTCTTTTTTTGACGAGGGAAAAAATCTTTTTGAAAGGCATCTTCGCGAAAGAGGACTGCGAACCATAAGGCAAGTGCCTAAATGCTAATACAAACTTCTCCCACATACACGCATGAAGGGGAGGGGGGGAGGGGGGATAACCAAACCACCACTTTTTCCAGATGAGTCTGTGGAGACCCAAGAGTCCGCCACAAAACCCAACCCTTGAGAGGCAAAGATCCAAGGGGCTACCACAGGAAGTAAGTTTCACCTGAAACCAGGAATATAGAAAGTTATTTGGAATTCCTAGCAAGGACTTTGCATGCTATTTATTCCTAAATTCCTTTCACCCTTAACTTGCGAACTCGAATTAAATTGAGTGAAGCCGGAGATTCTTTTCAAAGACTTGAAGATATATTTCTCAAGAGTTGAAGAGGAGAAACTCTAATCAGAGCGAAGGTTGGGTTTGTTTTGGTTGTATTTTCCTCGTTTTGATCCTGAGGCTGTTGCAAATATGATGCAACATATCTTGCACCATATTTGTTGTTCAGAAGAGACGAAGGAGGCCCTGCTCCACAAACGAAGGGGACTAACTGCACGGATCACCCTCATAGTTTGAATTCCTAAAGAGAGCAGAATATAAGAGTCTGTCATCTCCTTTTTGTTTTAGAAGGTTTAAATAAGTGTAGACACAATTAATTTAGGGTGTTCTTTGTCTTTTTTAGTGGAGATCTACTATGATGCCTACAGGAGATAGACTTTCATCTATGCTCAGTATTATGAAAAGCAAAAAGCACAACAAACATTTAAGGTTCGTTGGAGCTTTGCAAAGTACAAATAAGATGTGGGCTTTAATGAAAAACGACGCAAAGGGTGAAAAAATACAATTATGCATATGTTTACTCCAAGACTAATAATTATTGGGAAAATTATACAAAAGGGCCCGTTATTCGTCTTTTTTTCAAAAAAAAAAAAGAGGCCAAATTGGACATTGGGCATACCCTTCTTCTTCCTAACAATTTTTGCCATTAATGGCTTCTTTTCCTCCTTCCTACTTTCCCCCCTCCTCCTCCTCCGTCTTCATCGTCATCATTCTTCTTTGTCGTCTTCTTCTCCTTTTTTTTTTTAATTGATGTATCGAAAATGTGAATCATTTCAAGTAAATATATATCAAAAGACTTGAATCATCGAGCAAATTTCATATCTAAAATTTGGGATTGTTTAGAGGTGATTTAGAATTGATCGAGATTGAACACTCTATGTATACTTCATGTATAGTTAAGTTGTTTTTCAGTATTTTGAGTGTATCATAATGTATAGTTAGTGTATAACTCATGTATAGGTAAGGTCTACTGTATAGTCAATATATTACTTTCTATGACTTTTGGCAAGCTATATTGTAAAAAATGCTCAAGCTTTTACATAAATCAACTTAGAGATGACTTAATTTATATCTGCTTGGCATCGACAACACTAATTATTACGAAAAAATCAATGACTAGCATGCATAGTCTAACTAGACACACTCAAGTATATAGCCCTGAAAAATAGGATGAGCTTTGTGAAGAAACTTGACAAACTTTTGTTTCCTTATTTCATAGTTGATCTTTGCACCGGTCAGCAATGTTTGCTCTCTCTGTAAATCTTACCCTTTTCCATTTCAACTCCTTCATCCGCCTCTCAGTTTCAAAATAGCTTTATCTACCTTCCAGAACTCTTTGAAAATTTGATCTTTACTTCCCTTTACAAAAAATATACACGAGAAAGAAAGACTACAAATGATTCAGTGATGCAAAATAAACAAACAACACCATATCTAGTGTAATCCCACAAGTGGGGCCTGGGAGGGTGGTGTGTAGGTAGCCTTACCCCTACCTTGGGAAGGTAGAGAGGATAATGATTCAGTGAAGCAATCAACAAGAAAAATAAAGTGTGTTGCATATTCAAATACGTCTAATATACAAAGAGATAAACTCAATTACATATAAAATATAAACATAGGAATATGATTAAAAACACCTCCTAGGAGACAGTGAGATTAAGATATAAATAATTACTAGAAGTCATTCAGGTAAATCTAAAATGTGTCATAGACTCGGAACGTGATAAATATTGAAAACTCATCTCCCAGAAAATTATATTATCTTTCCTGATTAACCTTCTATAATGTGTTGATGACTCTTTTCTTTGGAGGTGCTAATAAATTCCATATTTCCCCATTTACTGAATATAGGATTTCTTTGTCTGTCAATCTTGAATTGAATATCGATGGTAGAGAGGCATTTATGAATATGGCTATCTTGTTATCAATGTCTTTCCACCCAACTTTCAAATCTAGCTTAGGGATGACAAGTGTAGATCTTCTTCTTCCACGTAGATTTGGCATCTACATATTTGCTTCCTTGTATTTGGAGTATTCAACTGGCAATATCTGAAACTTTGGAAATTTGTTAGGCAAGACAAATGAGGAGCTTGGGAAGGATCTTTTGCAGAACTTACTTTAAAAGAAAGATTTAATTTATGTAAACTTCTGCTGAAGTAATTTGTTCCAAGAGGAGACATGGATAAATTAGAAATTTAGTAGTCCAGTTATTAAATAGTCATTTAGTCGCAAAGTTCTCGCCATAATGTTAAATATCCTAGAAATACTGGTAAGAATTTAGGAGAGAGAAAATATTGTAGAAATGACTAGAATGTATGTCATGGGAACCAAGGAAGACTACTAGTAGATTAAGGACGCAATTTAGGAAGATCTGGATAACAGGTCGGGTCCCTTGTATATCATCTGGACTGTTTGTAAAGAAGAAATTGGAGTTGTTTTGAACTTAGAGCATAGTGATAGTATATATTATAAAATGTACATGTTTGTGAAATCAAGCCTTTTACAGTAAAACGCAATCTCTGAATCTGTAGAATCTATTGGGGAATTCCCGTCCACGCCCGACTCGGCTATATCTACGAAAGTGGGTCTTGTTTTGATGAAGGAAAAAATCTTTTTGAAAGGCATCTCGGCGAGAGAGGACTGCAAACCGCGAACCATAAGGCAAATGCCTAAATGCTAATACAAACTTCTCCCACATACACTCATGATAGGGGGGGGGGGGGGACCAAGCCACCACTTTTACCAAATGAGTCCATAGACCAAAGAACCTCCCACAGAACCCAACCCTTGAGTGGCCAAGATCTTAGAGGCTACCACAGGAAGTAAGCTTCACCTGTAACCTTAAGGAATATAGAAAGTTATTCGGAATTCCTAGCAAGGACTTTGCATGCTATTCATTCCTAAATTCCTTTCACCTTTAACTTGCTAACTCGAATCAAATTGAGTGAAGCCATTGATTCTTTTCGAAGACTTGGAAGATATATTTCTTCAGAGTAGAAGAGGAGAAGCTCCAATCAGAGCGAAGGTTGGGTCTGTTTTGGTTGCATTTTCCTCATCTCGAACCTGAGGCTGTTGCAAATATGATGCAACATATCTTGCACCATATTTGCAGTTCGGAAGAGAGGAAGGAGGCCCTGCTCCACAAACGAAGGGAACTAACTACACGGATCGCCCTCATAGCTTCGAATTCCCAGAGTGAGTAAAATAGAAGAGTCTGTCAACTCTTTTTTGTTTTAGAAGGTTTAAATAAGCATAGACACAATTAATCTAGGGTGTTCTTTGTCTTTTTTAGTGGAGATCTACTATGATGCCTACAGGAGATAGACCTCCATCTATGGTTAGTATTATCAAATGCGAAAAGCGCAACAAACATCTAAGGTTCGTTGGAGCTTTGCAAAGTACAAATAACATGTGGGCTTTAATGAAAAACGATGCAAAGGGTGAAAAAAATACAATTATACATATGTTTAGTCCATTTAGTCCATGTCTAATAATTATTGGGAAAATTATACAAAAGGGCCAGTTTGTCATCTTTTTAAAAAAAAATATAAAATGGCCAAATTGGACATTGGACATACCCTTCTTCTTCCTATCAATTTGGCTATTAATGGCTTCTTTTCCTCCTCCTTCCTACTTCCCCCTTCTCCTCCTCCTTCTTCTTCTTCTCATCCTCCTCCTCCTCCTGATTAGTTGATAGTCAGTGTATAACTCATGTATAGGTAAGCTATATTGTATAGTTAGAGGTCGTTTGGTTGGGAACAAGTTATCCCAGGAGTTAGCTATCATGGGATAACTTATCCCACCATGTATAGGGGATAACTTATCCCATCACTATGATATAAATGGTGGGATAAGTGATCCCAAACATGGCAACCAAACAAGAAACAAAAACTTTATCCTATCACTATTTTCTTATCCCATTACTATTTATTTCTATCTCTCACACCAAACGACCCCTTAGTGTATTACTTTCTATGACTTTTGGCTACTTATTATGTAAATAAAGGATGGCTATTTTTAGAGCCTTTTTGGATTGGCTTATTTTAAGTGCTTTTAAGCTAAAATCTCTTTTAAGCAGTTTCGTAGTGTTTGGGTAAGTTAAAAAAGTACGTATAACGTTATAAGCACTTAGTTTTTAGCTAAAATGACAAAAATAAACCAAAAGCCATAAGTATGATTTGTAACTTATGGTTTTTGGCTTATAAGTCAAAACTGAAAAGCCAATCCAACAGGCTCTTATTGTAAACTAATGATTTTATTGTATATATCTAAAACTAGCCCATAATTATTAGCATGAATAACAAATATAAGAACAAACAAATTGAAATTTTTTGTACGATAAAGTGAAATATCAATTGTTTAGTGTCACATCTTCATAAGAGGTTCATTGATAACGAAAAGTATGCCTTAGACTCTTGATGCCGACATTGAAGCGCACATTTAGCAACGCAAAGCACTCAACACATTTTGATACTCACTTTAGGGCTCAAGCGTGCTACTAACTATGATTGTTTGGTTTCATTTATTGTGTTTGCATGTATGGAAAAAACCCTAATTGAAAATGTTGACTACCTATGCTAATATAATAATAAAGACTTCTTCGTATAAATGTGCTGAAAATGCTATTCTTTCCATTTTTTCTTTTTATAGTGGAGATAGTCGCACGTTATGACAAACATATTATTAGAAGACTCTAGCTTTGCTTCCTTATCCTTGCTAACTAGAAAAGAACCTTCACGAGTTGAGTAAAAGCACCTAGCCTATCTTACTCCCCCTTCACGAGCTGTAAAACACAGATGTATAATATGATTTTAACTCCAAAGGACCTTGTAAATTCCATTGCATTGTTGTTAGCTTTTGGGCATAAAATGCAAGATGATTTTAATTCTATATAGAACCCATTACAGAGTTAAAAAAAAAAGGCAGTCAATACTGTACCTACATATTTCTCCCTCACTGCTACTTTTTGTAAATAAAGTAATCCGTGTATTACTTACCACTAGTACCTTATGTCTGGATGTATTACATACCACTACTACCTTATGAAGTTTTGTTCTCAGTGTATGATCTATTGTCGCTGTGTATGCAGCCACAGTTTCTGGCAGGAGGGGAGCGGTCAGCCACGATATCATGATTGCATGGGAAATTTGAGATCCTGTAGTAACTTGTAGTAGAGTGGTACCTCATTCGCAACAGACTGTCTTAACTTCTTTCTAGACATATTAAATGCATCTTAAATTTTTTAACATAAAATGCACATGGATGCAGTTTATACCGGTCTTGATTCTTTTCACGACCTGGGCTATGATAAAGAAGTGGTTATGGAGAAGATTGAAGGAAAGGCAGACAGTGCAGCTGCTGTTGTCCACAAGCTGCTCAGATCACCAAAACCTGAACAGCTGTATCTCAAATATGCTCATGACATACTTGGTGTGGTTGCACTTCTTGGAGAGTTTCGGACCCATAAGCTTAGCAGGTTGATGCTTATATCTTTTTCTGTAAAACGACTCAGTTTAAGAACTTCCTTGGCAGTATGGATGTAATTACGTGTGTTACCTATCCCTAGCATGCTTTCAACACATCTTGGAGAAGATCAGTTGCTTGCAGTAGTATGCAAATCCTGTGCAGCGCCAGAGCTCTTGACAATTATCAAATGGATTGAAATGTGAATTGCGCCAGTGCTCTTGACATATTAGCTTCTAAGCTTGGAATTTCCATCAAGGGTCAATATAAGGTTATTTGCCTTGAGGATATAAGGTTAAAGCATTTCTTTCTCTGGTTTACTTTATACTAACTGTTTTCAATTGTTATGATTTTAGGTCTCTCGATCCAGTTAACACATCATGTTTCATCCATGTCTGATCAATGCTCTCTGGAAAAAAAAAATGTAAGGTCCTTGCCTTTTTGTTTCAGGCCATATACGTGAGGAGTCAGCAGTGATCTCCAAAGAGAACTTGCTTTTCCACGCCCAGCTTTATCAAATGGAGAAACTCTCCCTGGCATTTTTGGCTATGCGGTTAATATGATATTCCTTCCTGCAGAACATTTGCAGTTTAGAACTTCTACAGGGGATGGTCTCCTGGAGACATCATTTTACTGTCTGCTTGGTAAGCTTCAAGTCTAGAGTCTAGAGAACACCTTTACATGGCAAGTTCCTGCATAGAAGATGGTGCGGTTTCCTTGGATGGTGAAATGATGAGAGGAAATGGAGTTGCATCTGAGTGTGTATTTTTTTTTCCTACTTCTCTACCATTTATTTGTTTATCACAAAGATGAGTAGATTTTGCATGATATCCAAAATGATTAACGTCTGTCTTTATTTCTATTTCCAGTCATCTGTCTGGAAAGACAGTGGCCCCTCTCACCTGAGAAAGTAGAAAGATTGAAGATAATCGAAGACTTGAAGCTGGAACTAAGTCAATTGCATGATCAGATACAGGAAGAGATTAGGACTCGGACAAAGTACAAGAAAACGTTTGCACCTTTTCCTGGAATGTACAACTCTGACATACTGGTTTGCTTCTTCTGAGTCTTGTACATGTAATTACGCCAGTGACTTCCCTTTTATGGAACATTTTTTTTTTTTTTTGTGAAGAAACACAAGGTAGTATACTCTGTACAAATCAACACCTATAGCCTTCCAAGTAAATGAATGATCAAGGTGTAAAATCATAGGAATCATTTATTGATGTGTAAATCTCATATATGACATATATTATAGTATATATGACATATATTATAGTACTATTTTCAGGCTATAACAACAAAGTTAGACTTTCAAGCTATAACATTAAAAATTTCAGGTTATAACAAATTCACAAATAAAAAAAATATTTTTATTAATTCGAAAAAAAGTTAAAAAAGAAAAAGAAAAGATAAACGAAAATTTAAAAAAAAAAAAACGGAATTAGAGATAATAAAGTAAAAAACTAAAAGTATGGCCTGTAATTTAATTTGAATTTATTATAGATAATTAATGATTAGCATGAAATAAGGGATTCAAACAAATTAACAATATTTTTTATCCTTAATTCACTCAAAATCAGTTAAGATAAACTAAAAAATCAGATCATATCATTTTTTTGTAGATAATTAATAAATAGCGCGAATTAAGGGATTTAAATTAATTAAGATTATTTAGTATCTTTAATTCACTCAAATCAGTTAAAATCAAATAAAAATTCAGATTTTATCTTTTTCTTTTTCAACGTTTCTCTCTCTTCAATTTGCAACAAAAAAAATTCAACATTTCTCTCTTCAATTTTCAACAAAAAAAAATTTCACATTCGAGTAATTGAAGTTTTTTTCATCTTTGAAAATTCTTGATTTTGTTGTGATGGACAACTACGTATCAGTTTTAATCAAACATGGTAAAAGATGGGATCCTTCGAGTTAGTATTTATTATTGTTTAACGTTTGTTTTAGAATAATAGCAAAATGAAACAAAAATGATCAAACTGTCGATTAATTGAAAGTGGAGTCATATTTTGTTAACTGTTGATATCATATTATGTTTACTGTTGTGAAATGTAAAAAATTTAGTGTTTTTTTTGTTTATTTGTTTATTTTGTATACGGTTGTTGTTTTATGAAATTATAAATTTAATGTGATTTTATGAATAAATTTGATAGAATAAATTAAATGAAATTTGTATGAAAGTGTGCTAATTATTCTGTAAAAATAATTTAATTATAATGTTGACGAATTTATGAAAATTTATTTTATTTGATAATGAATTTGATAGTATAAGTCGAATGAATTATGTATGAAAAGTGTGTTAAGAAATATGTAAAAAAAAAATTGGAATTCTTGACGAAGTGTATTACAAGTGTTTTAAATTGGTATTAAATGTGAAATTGTTGAGTTTATATTAGTTTTGTTATTTCTGTATAAAGTTGGTGACAATAGTTAATTATTTGGGACGAGAAATGTATATAGTTTGAATGAATAATCATTTTGTATGAAATGTATATTAAATGAGTATGAAAATGTATAAAATTGGTATGAATGATGATTGTTGTATGAAATGTGTATTAAATGTGAAATATTATGTTTTGTATGAAATTTGTTTTGTAATGTATTGTCTGAATGATATTTGTATGAAAAAATAATGACGAGTGTGTATAATTTTGTTGTTATTATAATGATTTTTATGGATGAAATTTGTATTTTAACATATTTCTAATTGATTTGTATAATGTTAGACTAATTGTTAATTTTTTTTAATGAAACAGAGAATTATGATGATTTTCAAATGAAATGAATTATATATGAAAGAGGGTTGCTGATGTGAAATTCAAAAGGTCCAAAGTTACTTGCAGTAGATGTTGTCAAGTTGGCCACAACATGAAGCATGTTCAAATTATCCCGTGCAAAACTAATGACTGTTTATTTGTGTAGACTATATATAATTTTTATTTTATTTTGTCGTTTAAATTAATGTTTTGTTTTGATATGAAACATAATTGGTTTGAAGTGCATTATAAACTTAGTGTTTAATATACCATTCATTCTTTATACACTATTCATTCATTAATCATATAGGTTGCATACTGTTAAAAATAAAATTTATTCCAGCTTAATACATAAGATAGTGTAAATATTAGTGATAATTATAAAAGGTAATTATGGTATCCTGAGTATTTAATTTAATGTAAGTTTACATGAATATTAATTTGGTTTTCAACTGGTGTCCTACTATAAATAAATTTAAAACAAATTGCAGTTAGTGTTTCATTCCCACACTAACTTCAGTTAGTGTCATACACATATTAATCAAAATTTCATACACGTTTTATCCAAACAACATGTATAAAAATTGATAAATTCATATAATCACACAATTTATACCATTTGTATATCAATATTATATCACAATTCATACAATATCCAACAATAAAATATTAAACTCATAGGCATACACGTATTAATCAGATTTCATACATGTTTCATCCAAAAACATGTTTAGAATATAAAATAAGCATAATGTGATTTTTTTAAGAAAAAATCAGTAGTTTGACAAATCATACCATTTTCATACCAATTTAATAATTTATACCATAAACACAGTTAATAGACAATCACACCAATGTTAAAACGCAATTCATACCATTTGCATACAATTATTATATCACAATTCATAAAATTTTCAAAATCAAAACATTTAAGCGTAGTCATACACATATTAATCAGATTTCATACAGATTCCATCCAATAAATGTACAGTTTGGAAACACACTGATATTTTCAAAATAGTATCTTGAAATTGTAATAGCAATCAGTAATTCATATGTAAACGGTATCTGCCTGGAAGAAAACATATGATATTATATATCATCAAATACTTAAACACAAAAAAATTGTCCAAAAGTTACCTTTTTTTTTCTTCATTTTTTTTCTCTTTGTCGCTCCTTCAACTTAGATGAACCATCCGTCGTCGGATTTTGAATATTCGCCGGATTTTCAACAATTTTAGGCGGGGGAGGGGGGGGGGGGTTTGAGTTAATATATTAAAATTTGAAACATGAACATCATCATTAGATGTTCCTTCACCCAATCTGGGACTCTTTTGAAGCTTTTCAATGAGTTTCTTAGACATAATGTTGTTGGAAAAAAAATTGGACGAAAGATTGAATGTTGGTGTAGTTGGCTGGTGAGAAAAATGGGAGAGAAGAAGGTGAAAGTGGGGTGATAGCGTGTATAGTTGGATATGTGTGGGGGAAGGGTGGTGGGATTGACTAATGAGAGGTTATGACTATAACATTAAATAAAGAAGTGTAATCAATGTAAAATCCCTATAATTGTGTAAGAGATAATTATGGGGTATTCTTTATTTAAATAATTTAATAATAATATAAAATTATAAAAAATTACTTATTTAATAAAGTAAAATTTAATTAATTTATAAATAATTAGTGATATGTTATAACCCGTAATTAAACTGTTATAAGCAAGAATTTTTTAAAAGTAGATTTAAAACTTGTAATATTGACTCTTAAATGTGTATATGGGGTGATTTTTCCTTTATTGATCTTTGTTTGGAAAGGGATTAAAAGTGAAGCTGCTGCATCTGGTTCCTTTTTAGATATGCTTGTATGTGACAGTAGGAATAACTACTCATTATGTGTCTTGTGCAAACAGTTGCAGTAATATACTAGTAATGTACCCAAAGAGAAATATAAACTTTTACAAATAGCAAAAGCAAATAATGCAAGGAAAAAACTAAGCTAAAATAAATATAGAAGTATATTATTATTTGGAAGTTTCCTTTTCTTCTTCTCAAAGAATATAGAAACTACATAGATACATGGAAAGTTCAACTCGACCACTAAATTGCATGTCCATTCACATTCCAAGTGAAAGTAAAACAGAACTTTATGATTACTAACATGCATGGTTTCAGGATATTAACAGTTGCAAATTCCTTTGTGACTCCACTCAACATTTTGATCAGTCTATTGCTTTGCATCTCCTTATTTTGTACTACCGTCTGTACATAAAGAATATACAACTTTCATAAAATCGACATCGAACAAAATATAAAAATAAAAATATAATAGTAGTCGATATACTAAAGGTAAGCAAGGTTTACTGAAAGATGTTACCAACTCAGACAAACTTCATATAATTTTTATCCTTGTTATGTATACTTCTTATCCAAAAATAAAAGGACTTGCCTGAAGCTGGCAATATGTTTCAATAGCTTGAAAAGATTTCTTTAAATTGTTTTTCTGAAAAGCAATGGCCATTAAATTACACATGGTTATTACTGTAATATTAAGAGTCTCTTTGGCATTACTGATAAAAATTGCTTATTTTTAAAATAGTTTTTCAAAAAAAGTGCTTTTGAAAAAAAAACAATATGTATTTGACTAAATTCATTTAAAA